TCTCCCTGGTGGCAAAACTCATTCGAGAGTGTTCACTTAGATATAGTGCTGTACCTCGCCATCTACTGAATAAGCTGTCAGTGCTGCTGCAAAGCTTTAACAGAGGATCTACTCCACACAACATTCTTGTTCAAGGAGGTCAAACAGAAACAGCAGAAGTCATACTGTAGTGGTAGTTTAGTTGCAGTTGACAGTCTTTCCCTCTTGGCTGTTCCTGTCACAGTGAACCATCTATTTCCATCTCTCTGGCAAATCAGGTCCTGCCTAACCCGTAGTGGGGACAGGCACAGGCTTCTGTTGTGGTTAGGGTTGGGATTGTGCTGAATTAGGTTACTGGCACCATCTTTGGTCCAATTCAAGCACTGGTTAAACCACATTCATATATTCAAATCTAACTGGAAGACTTCAGCCAAGACTTCCCTGTGAGCAAGTTTTTTTGTGTCAGATAAAGGATATATGAATACATAAATATCAACTATAACCACAATCTATCTCACTATATTATAGTCATAATCCAGTGAAATTTGCTGATCACATTCGTGCTCCCCAGGGATTTAACCCGTCTGACTTGAGCAAGTCTGTGGCTTTCCTACAGCACCAACTTCAGGTTAAACTTCTTAACTTGTCCAACACTTTCATACTGTGTGCTGTAATGCACACTGCAGTCTAGGACATTTTGTTTTATTTTCAAAGAACTACTACTGATATATGTCTCCAGGTAATGCTGCGAGGGTTTATTAAGACAGAGAGAGTTGTAAGCACCTTCATCAAAGATACAAGCACATGTGCATGTGGTGGCTCCCTTCTCTTCACTCTGCTCAGACAGACAAGGTAGATTAACCATGAGCCAACCACTGGGCTGTTTGGTGAAAATGGAGGTCAGAGCCACTAAAGACGGTTGACACTATAAAAATACTAAGGAACCATTAAGTAGCAGCTGTGTAGAACTGCAGCACTGAAATTGCTCAGCATCAATGACCATGATAAATAATATATTTACCCATTCAGTCAGTTGCTTGTTGGTAATATCTTAGGCTCTTGGTTGCAACATGAGCAGCAATGGTTGTAGAGAAGGACAAGGGGAAAGACATGAGAAATTGTGCAGGTGATTGATTATGGAAGGTTTTGCAGATGAGCGTTAGCTCTGATTGTCTCCAGGGTATCAGCAGGGCCTTAATAAAGAGTATAAAATGTTAAATTATTAAAAAATGATGTCCCTCAGCTCCTTCCACGTCAAACTTACAGTTATGTGGATATTAGAAGGTAGTCTTACAGTCTTTAGTTTACTCCTTAATTAATCCAAACTGGCTAGGAAAATTTCCAGAGCATGAATGTTCTAAAATACATGATGGTTCTGGATGTAGTCCTGAAAACATTTTCAGAAAAAAGATGATTATAAAATAAACCCAATTCGAACCTTTCCTGCTCCTGCAGTCTATATGCAAAATGCATTTGCGCTAATGAGAGCAGTGGGTTGCCATGACAACGCCTTGCACTACATTATGACATCATGCCTTCCCTCAATCCATGCCTCCTGCAATCAGCAAAACTCTTGGCAGATGATGCTTTGGCAGTGTAACCTACGAGCTACCTGTCCTTGAATTAAGAACACTTAAGTGTATTGCAGTTTTCTAAGTGCATGAGGCATCATTTCTCTCTTTTTCAGCAGTTCAAACCTCATGTGACAGAAATGCTTTTTAGCTGATCACTTGGGTGTTCAAGGACACCAGGACAGAGACAGAGATTTGCCTTATCATGCTAACTAGCCCCTTGTTTTACATGTTGTTTTTTTCTTTAAGAAAAAGGATGTGGCCATTCATTTGCCAGACTTAATAGGCCTTTTTTCCCCAGCAGATGTTTTGGCTCACTGTCATGGTTTACTGGGATACTTGACTAGAACGGAGCTGTTGCTAATGTTATTAGTTACACCTGGGCTTTAGCTGCTATGACGAGTCAAAATGTCTGGCCTATATTTTATTAGGAAACAGGCATATAATTGATGATATGTGATTTATTTAAATTCTACATTACCCAAGTTGGATTTGTCTGCTGTGCAGGAGGAGACTTGGATTAAAGTCCAACTTCCATTAAACTGCAAGTTTTATTTTCTGCTACAGCATACAGATCTGTCATGTACATTATATTTCATGTGCTCTCTTTTGAGAGTGTATATACTTTATAATTTTTGGTTTTATATAAAATGAACACGTGTGGTCTGTGCATTAGCCAGTCAGATACTTCATTGGTTAACAGTAACAGATAGCAACCTGAGACACAACAACAGTGTGTTGCACCTTGGGCTTGACCAAGCTACCAAACAAATGTCCACCAGATTAAAATGCACTGCTAATGTTTCCTGTCTCTACACCTATCAAATAATAATAAATAATTATTATAATAAAAATAAATTATTTATTACCTATAGTTGCATCCAGTGGTGAAGTTGCAGAACTGAATACAGCTCAGCCTTCCAAGTGTAAAGGAGAATCTGTGGTGAGCGCTGTAGAAACTTCGTGGAAGAGCACTGGTGTTGTCCATTCAAATGAAGTATTTAATGTTGCGTAGTCCTCGATTAAAGTACAACCCCCAATTTTTCAGACATGATTATCATCTTATATTTGACTCAGTATGGTATATCCAATATTTTACACAATGTAAAATTACTTAAAATAATCAAATTAATATTTACTGCATTACATCAGACCAAATCTCTTCACATGTGTAAAACAAGCTTTGACTCACTTTCTTAGTTTTTAATTACAGTTTATTTGGCTTCATGAATTTGGACATCATTTTGTTAAATGGTAAATTTAAGTTTTACATAGCCCCTTCCTTTTCTACCTACTTCTCAAAGCGTATTCCCACACATTCATCCATACTCACTCATTCATACACTGATGGTAGAGGCTGCCATGCAAGGTGCCGACCTGCTCAACAGGAGTGGTACAATGCTTCTTATCCAAATGCAAGTTCACCCACACACATACACACACAGGGTGCAGCCATCAGGATCAATTTGGGGTTCAGTATCTCACCAAACTTCAATTGGACTGGGGGTGGCAGAAATCTAAACATCAAACCTCCTATTACGAGACCACGTGAGCCACAGCCGCCACAATAACACAATATCACATCGGCACAATACAACTCCCAGTTATGGCCCAGCCCTAGCATGGAGCATGTCAGTGACGTGGAAAATCAACCTCCACATGAACAATTTGTTACATAATCACTGTAAGAGATCTCTCAGCAGTCATCTGTTGAATGTGTCTCCTGATCAGATTGTTCATCAATGCTCCATGTGAGCTGCAGCAGGAGGATGAAATAGTGGAGTGAAGAGTGTATGTTGGGCCTGCTGACCTTGGCATTCATCTTTACTTGTATCAGCACCACTGACTCAGCAGTAAAAACTCCCACTGATCTCCTGGTACATCTCCACAGCTAATTTAAGAACTGCTCACTCCCCCTTCAGCCGCCTGCATGCAGGGAAATAAATTGTGGATGGTTTGCTGTGTGAGGGCTTTGCTATGTAGAAGATACATACTATTATGTCCAACTCTGTAATACATTCTAACCAGACTTTAATTGCTAAATAGTGGGTATTGGCTTTAATTCTTCAGGGGCTCACAGGTCGGTAAATTACAGGATCAATAGCAACTAAACAGTGTAATGTGAATGAATATGTTTTGAAGATTAAAAAAAGCTGATGCACTGGCTGTGGTTCACAGCTTTGTTTGAATATAGAGAACAGTGTCAGGAATCAGCTTTTTTTGATGGGATATTTTCTTGGAGATATTATTTTGGATCAGAGCCCTTCCTTCTTTTCCTTCTTTCTTTTTAAACAGGGTAAAGCTGTATTGATTTTGTTTCCTTTTTCTTGCCGGTCATGGCTCTCTGACTTGGAAACCTAGTATTTGACTGGGTTTTTTTGTTTTTTGAGAAAGCCGATTGTTGAGGCTTCACGGTCAGTTGCTCATCAGTTTTTCTCATTGTGGATGTTGGGATTTAGTCAAAGATTTTTGTAAGAAAGGTAGGTCTTTTGCCAGTCTGGAACATAAACAATGACAGTGATATTGATAGGAAAGAAGAGCTGTTTTTATTGTTTGGGGGGTTTTCTGTTTTAAAACTTCTTCAACTTGTCAGATGGTTTAAAGTTCTCAAACTCAAATTGGCTTGTGGCCACTACTGGTATTGTCATTGCATGGGAGGGCCACTATGTTCAAAATATTTCTAACAGTAACAAAAGAAATGCAGACAGCAGTTCCTATATATTTTTGTATGATCATTTTATATTTCCTTGATTGATGATTGAAGACTTGTTCGCAGAAAATCTGCTATCTTCTTCCGGAAAATGGCCCCCAGGCTGGCAGTTTAAGGCCCCTGGTTTGAAGTTTAATACGCCTATTAAGAATGTAAGAAAATCACTTTGTGTAATGTGAAATGTGTTATTGCTTATAGTGACAAACCCACAGAGAATTGCATCTCTCACTATCTAGCCATGTTCAACCGCCATGTTTCTACAGTAGCCCAGAACGGACAAAGCAAACACTGGCTCTAGATAGGGTCCCCATAGTTCCTTCTACAAACTTGGAAGGGTTGGGTGATGTGAAGGGGTCGTAATCTGCAACTACACCACTAGATGCCACTACATTTTACACAATGGTCTAGGACTGCATTGGGATTGGGATTCTGCAATCCTGATGCAGATCTCGTGGGAGTGGGCAGGAGTGGTACCTTGCAGGGCTCTACAGTGGTCATTTAATTGTAATTAATCACATAGGTGTATTGCTTAATTGCAATAAAAATGAATAAAGGTATGGAGTAGAAGGATTTGCAGTACAATTTCCTTCCCACCACTGCCGACAATGAGAGTCAACAGGCTCTCAAAGTAGAATCACCTGTGAAGTCTGTCCAAAAGGAGCAGTGTTTTGTCTTTTGAGCAGTAATTGTGCCCGCTCAGTTGTCACCTTGATGGCAGATCCGTGTTCTTTGTTTTTCAGCCTTCCTAAAGGGGGCTGCCTGCTCTCTGCCGCCTGCTCCAATAAGCACTCATTAATCTTACTTACAGCCTTCATTAAAGCTGCCACCGCTCCACCCGTGCCCACTCTCCACGCTCATATCTCCTCCCTAATGCCCATCTCCTCGACCTTTATCTCTGCCCAGCTTGGCTTTCATAATCTCTCGCCCCGAAGCCCACGTACATCCCCTTCCCCTCTCCCCTCTTCATCTGCTGGATCACTCCTCTTTATTTCATCCCACCCACTTTTCTGTCCTCTCTATACCTTTTGTCTGGTGGCTCAAAAACTTTAAATTCATATGAACTGAGTGTTGAATTCAATTTGCACCTTCTCTGGTGGCGGCGGTGTGCCATTTGTGAAGTTGGCCGTTAAAGTTCTCTCCTGGTTTGTTGTTGACTCAGACATAAAAGCCCACTTTATGAAGGGATTATGTTTCTGCTGGCTCTGTGTTGAACTTGTTGACCCTGAAGTGTCTGCCACTGATCCCCCTCCAACCTCTGTTTCTGTCTGCACACTATCCGAACCGTACGGAATCAAAAAACAGCCTGTTAGCCAAAGATCATGATTCTATTATGTCATTATGTCTAGAAAAAAAACAATGGCTACAAATATTGTTTTATCCTAAAATTGAATTACCATAAATTAAAGAGTGACATTTTCTTTTACCTCAACTGCAGAAAGAACCAGGTTTTATGAAGAAGCCTCCTTGTTTTATGGTCCACTCCTGTTTTAATTTGCTTGATAATTGGTAATTTATCTATTTCTAATAATTTCTTTGTGTTTTTTTTTTAATGGTGTATGACGTGGGCATGACATTCAACAGCTTGTTGGTCCTGTTAATGCTCTCTGATAGACAAAGAGGCTGTCTCTGTGTTACCCTTTCTGTGGCATTTCTGTACCTCAGTTTGTTATTGTTTATTGGGCGGCATATACCCATATGTCTGTGATAAGCTGATATCAGACAATATGAGTCTTGCCCTAGACAATAGTGAGGTGAAAATGACACAATTTTGTTGTTGTGCTGTTGGAATTTGTCTTCTGGAAAATATTATGCTGAATTTATTATGAGTTAAGTGTAGCACAACCCTGAGTTTAGTGCTTCTGCTAGACAGACTCACTGAGAATGAC